TATCCATTCTTCCATTCTTTTTTCAAGATTTTTAGTTTTTTTGCACCGGGTACGTAGTTCCTTCTTCAGCTCTGAGAAGTTTGATTGACCGAAGCCTTCGTCTCTCAACTTGTCAAAATCATTCTCCGTCCAGCTTTGGTCCGTTGCTGGCGATGAGCTGTGTTCCTTTGGAGGGGGAGATGCCCTCTGATTTTTTGAATTTCCAGCTTTTCTGCCCTGCTTTTTCCCCATCTTTGTGATTTTATCTGCCTTTGGTCTTTGATGACGGTGATGTACTGATGGGGTTTTGGTGTGGGGGTCCTTTCTGTTTGTTAGTTTTCCTTCTAACGGTCAGGACCGTCAGCTGCAGGTCTGTTGGAGTTTGCTTGAGGTCCACTCCAGGCGCTGTTTGCCTGGGTATCAGCAGCGGAGGCTGCAGAAGATAGAATATTGCTGAACAGCAAGTGTTGCTGTCTGATTCTTGCTCTGGAAACTTCGTTTCAGTGGTGTGCGCAGCTGTGTGAGGTGTGAGGTGTCAGGTGTCGGTCTGCACCTAGTGGGAGATATCTCCCAGTTAGGTTACTCAAGGGTCAGGGACCCACTTGAGTAGGCAGTCTGTCCATTCTCAGATCTCAGTCTCCATGCTGGGAGACCCACTGCTCTCTTCAAAACTGTCAGACACGGTCATTTACATCTGCAGAGGTTTCTGCTGCTTTTTGATTAGCTATGTCCTGTCCCCAGAGGTGGAGTCTACAGAGGCAGGCAGGCCTCCTTGAGCTGCGGTGGGCTCCACCCAGTTCGAGCTTCCTGGGGGCTTTGTTTACCTATTTAAGCCTCAGTAATGGCAGGCGCCCCTCCCCCAGCCTTGTTGCCGCCTTGCAGTTAGATCTCAGACTGCCGTGCTAGCAATGAGGGAGGCTCCGTGGGCATGGGACCCTCTGGGCCAGGTGTGGGATATAATCTCCTGTTGTGCCATTTGCTAAGACCCTTGGTAAAGTGCAGTATTAGGGTGGGAGTTACCTAATTTTCCAGGTGTTGTGTATCTCAGTTTCCCTTTGCTAGGAAGAGGGATTCCCTTCCCCCTTGCACTTCCCAGGTGAGGCGATGCCTTGCCCTGCTTCACCTCTAGCTGTTTGGGCTGCACCAGCTGACCAGCACTGACTGTCCGACAAGCCCCAGTGAGATGAACCCGGTACCTCAGTTGAAAATGCAGAAATCACCCGTCTTCTGTGTCGCTCGCGCTGGGAGCTGTAGGCTGGAGCTATTCCTATTCGGCCATCTTGCTCAGGATCTCTTTCCTCTTAGCCTTCTTGAGAATATTTTTTTCCCCAAGCTCTGTACAGTCCTTTTTATTCACTCCATGTAAGAATATTTTTGCCTTCATCTCCAAGCGAGGCAGGTCTATCCAGCCTCCTAAACCCATGATCATTTTTTAAAAGCAGCTGAACTGATCTGAGATGGGCATCTTTCTCATGCACTGGCTGTTTGATGTTCTGAATCCATAGGGTCCACAGAAAGCTGTGCTCCCCAGCATGCATTGCCACCTTTCTTTGTCTTGTCCTGGTCTTTGTCTATCCCAAGATACAGCATACCACTGCCAGTTCAGACTCTACTTCTTGCCCTCTTGTGCCCTAGGTTGCCATATGTGGATAATGTTGGAATAGAGGGGAGGGAGACACAGAGTTGAGGTATGGGAAGAATGGAGGGGACTTTGTCCTGATTGCCTAGGCAAGCAGATGTCTTTTCTTCCCCCTAGTGTTTCGTTTTGTTTAAAGACAGGGTCTTACTGTGTTGCCTAGGCTGGAGTGCAGTGGCATGATCATGGCTTACTGCCTCAGACTCCTGGGCTCAAGTGATCTTCCCACCTCAGCATTCCAAGTAGCTGGGACTACAGGCGTGTACCACCATGCCTGGCTAGTTTGTTAATTTTCTGTAGTAGAGACAGTGTCTCACTGTGTTACCTAAACTTCTTTATCTTTTAAAAGATTTCCTAACTGCTCTACAGGATGTTTACTGCTTGTGTAATAAAGCAAGGAATTTTAAAATAGCAGCCCTATATCTATAGAACAACTGTTTGGTATTTTAGATCTGAATCCAGTTTGAGGTTTCGGAGGCAGGAATTGGTCAGCAGGAAAGGTAAGAGGTATCTGTCCGCCTCTCTTATGGCAGAGTGTAGTGTCGTGAATCCTGGGTTGGTTTTCTTAGTTCAGCTCCATCTGCCTTGTTATTTGCAGACATTTCTCTCAAGTTCTGGTATTAGTGCATCTTTAGCCTTTGGTTTTAGTGTTGTGAGTTTTTACCTTTTAAAAAACAACATGAAGTGCTGCTATATGGATGCTTTGTTTTTTTGCCATTAAGAAAAAATTGTAGTCAAGTACACATAACATAAAATATACCATCCTGACCATTTTTATGTGTACATCTCAGTAGTGTTAAGTACATTCACATTGTTGTGTAACCAATCTCCAAAACTCTTTTCATCTTGCAAAACTGGAGCTCTTTACCTTTTAAATGTTAACTCCCCATTCCCTCCCATCCACTCCCCAGCTCCCGGCAACCACCATTCTATTCTCTGTCTTTCTTTTGGCCATTTTTTAATTTTTAATTTTTAGGAGGCTATGACGTGCACTCGTCTTAACATTTTCTATCTCTGATTTATACAGCACATTCATATTGAGTGTACACTCTTTGCTAAACATGTTCGTGGTTCTGGGGACACTGCTGTGAGCAAGGGCGGTATTGTTCTTGTCCTCAAGGAGCTGACATTCCAGGGAGGAAAGAAAATCAAGTGAATGAGTGCGTTAGTGAGTTCAGACAGTGCTAAGTCCTGAGAAGACAGCAAATGGCGATGTGACAGAGAGTGCCTTTGGGGTGCTGTTTTGACCAGGGAGGTCCCAGAAGGCCTTTCTGAGCAAGTGGTATTTTAGCTGACTCCTGGATCTGTACAGGATACTTCCTCCCCGATGTAGAAGGACTGGAGGAACAGCCCTTTGGAAGGAAGGAACAGCATGCACAAACACTCTAAGACTGTCACGAACTTGGCACATTTGAGAAATGGAAAAATATACTGATGTGACTTGAGCATACTAAGCAACGGGGAGAAGAGAACAAAATGAGGCTGGGCAGGTCATAGAGCAAAGCCAGGCAGCTTAGATTTTGTTCCAATTGTAATGATAAGCCACTTGGGGCCTTTATTAATTTATTTATTTTGAAACAGGGTCTCTCATTGTCACCCAGGCTGGAGTGCAGTGGTGTAATCATGGCTCACTGTAGCCTCGACCTCCTGGGCTCAATCAGTCCTGCCACTTCAGCCTCTCAAGTAGCTGGGACTATAGGTGCATGTCACCATGCCCTGCTAATTTTTGTATTTTCTGTAGAGACAGGGTTTTGCCATGTTCCCCAGGCTGGACTCAAACTCCTGGGTTCAAGTGATTTACCCGCCTCAGCCGGCATCCCGAAGTGCTGGAGTTACAGGTGTGGGCCACCGTGTCTGGCCCACTTGAGGCTTTTAACAGTAGAGTTATGTGACCTAACACTTGACATTAAAAAAGATTTTTGCATAAAAATACACTTGAGTTGGATAATACTGCATACAGCAGCATACAGATGCATAAGCACCGCACATACACGGTGTCTTCATCTGCCTCTGACAACCAGATTCCCCTGGGGATACGTCAGGAAAGTCTGGGGTACCTGTAGGCTTTTCTTTGAGTAATTCTCATGAAAAGGCTGACAGATAGTATTGCTTTATGGATGGAACATCTGAGACCCTGAAATGTTGAATGTTCATGAGTCATTCTCTACTTTAGCCTAATTTTTCTTTATCATTATTCTTGCTCTTAGACTTAGAACAGAATCTACAGAGTGTCAGTCAGCTAAGCTTGAGACGTACCTATTTTTTGTTACCTTTTTTGGAGATGGGGTCTTGCATTGTCACCAAGGCTGGAGTGCGGTGGCGCGATTTGGGCTTACTGCAGCCTTGACCTCCTTGGCTCAATAGATCCTCCCACCTCAGCTACCCAAGTAGCTGGGACTGCAGGCTTGTGTCACCACGCCTGGCTTATTTTAATATTTTTTGCAGGGATAGGGTTTTGCCTTGTTGCTTGGGTTGATCTCCAACTCCTGGGCTCAAGCGATCCTCCTGCCTCAGCCCCCTAAAGTGCTGGGATTATAGGCATGAGCCTCTGTGCCCACTGAGACCTATTTATTTGAATGGCAGAATTGCTATGGGGTAAAGAAATCCACCTCTGCCAACATGGCACTTGTATGCATATGTAACAAACCTGCACATCGTGCACACGTACCCTAAAACTGAAAGTATTAAAAAAGAAATCCACGTCTGGTTACTCCTGTTTCTATTAGTAGGTGTATAAAATATTCTACAATAATATGTGACCCTTAAAAAACAGAGTAAAAGTCTCTTCCCCTCCCCCCACAGGGGGTTGGTGGAGGATTCGAAAAATGGCTTTTGGTTTGCCGGGTTGCCATTTGTGAAAGTGTTTCTTGCTAGAATGGAATGGGTACCTGTGTCCTTGGTGATGGGGCTTCCTGACATCTGCCACACCAAGCCACGTCTGAGGGCAGGGGTGGCATCCTGTGCTCACACTGCAGGCATCTTTTCTGAGCCATGGCCATTGTGTCACTTGGACTTCAAACCCCACTTTGAGCAGCCTATTTTTGATAGAATCTGACTTTTCATTGTGAATATTTAGAAATTTTTTAAAAGGTAAAAAACAGACAAGAAAAACACCTTTATCTGGCTTTGGTAAATAGCAATTGTTTTTGTCCACTGTTGGGGAGTGAAACAGCCTGCGATGATTCTGATCTTGATATTATACAGAAACTAGTTCCTAAACAGATGATCAGAATCTGCACTTGGTACTTCATTCAAAACAAGCCCTCTGTGTTTTACATCATGCCCTTTTCAAGCAGGTCTCTTTAGACAGTGGGTACGAATATTTCATGAGCTATAAATGTTTAATTTGGAAAATACTTGGCATCATTCTAGGTCTTTATTTCAGAAAACATCCTGGGATGGCACGGGCCCAAGTCACATTCCACAGAGCAGCTGAAAAATGGGACACTTGGCTCTTTGCCATCAGCCAGTGCCAACATAACCTGGGCCATTTTACCAAACTCCACTGAAGATGAACAAACCTCACAGCCAGAGCCAGAGGTAAGCGTGCAGTCCTCTCAGTGCATTCATGGCTTGTGTTATCGCTTGTTCAGAAATATAGTAATTATATTTGTAACTTGCTCATCTCTTTGTTTCAAGAGGAGACAAATTAAAAAATGGAAGAATTGCCTGGAGAGACAAAATCAGCTATGTGCATGCCCGGCACTTCTCTTGTTCTTGTGTCCGGCAGCTGCTGTGGGTGAATTGTGATCCTACGAATGAGGAATCTCCTATTTTCATTGAAATAGGAGTCATTTTAACTTCAAGTGGGAGAAATTCTAACAGACCCATTAACATGATGCTTATTGACATGATGGGAGCAGTTACAATATATTATGTCGCTCCCCTGAATAATGGCTTTTTCGTGTGGTTCCTGCTAATACAAGCTCTTGCCTCACATGCTCGATTCCTGCATGCTCCTGAGCCAGGCCGGGATCCATGGGGCCATGGCCAACACTCCTTTTGGGCACTGAGCTGCAGCCCAGGTTCAGGCTGCCGAGGATATGCACTGCCTCGTCAGGAGAGCAGTCCTTGCAGATCCTGGTGACCAACCAGGCTCCAACAGGCTTCATGGACTTTCTGTCATCTGTCCTCGGCTCTCCTAACTCTGCCTCTAAGTGGCAGCTGGAGGGGAGCGAAATGCAGTGTCTCCTTTTGTCAATATTATTTTGTGTGCTGAGTCCATTTTTGTTTTTCTTGTTCTTTTGATGCACATGATAGAGTCTTGATACGGTCTCTTGAACTGGGCAGAGGCCTCCTTTAACCATGTGTTAGAGGTTGTTCTTAATTTCCATTGAAATCATTTTTGCCTGAAAATTGTAGAACATTCACAAAATCTATTTGATAAGGTTGAAAGCCCCAAGGCAGTGTCTTTGATCAAATGGTTTTGGTTATCAATGGAAATTTTTCTCCAAGCAGCATAGGATTATATTCTTGGACAGTGATGTAGTAGCGTAGCTCTCGTAAAGTCAGATTAGGCTGCCTACAAATATTTCATGGGCGTCTTTAAGGGGCTTTAGAAGGGTATGAAGTGAATAGTGGCTGTGGATTTTTGAAAGGCATTTGCTCTGTATGTACAAGGAGTTTCAGTGTCTAGAAACCCACGCAGCTGATGTGTAAGTGAATTAGAAGGTAAGTTGGCAACCATGTGAATGGTAGAGAAGTGAGTTATTAGATCTTCAGTGATCATTTTTTAGATCCTTATTTCTAGCAGCATTCTTGCGCAAAACCTAACTTACTTACTATGGCTCGTACTATTTCTGACTTTGTAAATCCTCCTTAGTGTTTCTTCTGTGTTTTTCTGATAGGTGTTCCCTCTGACCCCCAAGGTTTGAGGCCAAGTCTGTTGTTTTTTACACAAAGTTGTTGCCCACTTTACCTCACCAGTCAGTAGCATTGGCAAAAAAAATTTGCATACGATTATCTGTAAGAAATAACTAACTCCTGGCCGGGCGCGGTGGCTCACGCCTGTAATCCCAGCACATTGGTAGGCCGAGGTGGGTGGATCACGAGGTCAGGAGTTCGAGACCAGCCTGACCAACATGGTGAAACCCTGTCTCTACTAAAAATACAAAAATTAGCCAGGCGTGGTGCACACCTGTAATCCCAGCTACTCTGGAGGCTGAGGCAGGAGAATCGCTTGAACCCGGGAAGCAGAGGCTGCAGTGAGCCAAGATCACGCCATTGCACACCAGCCTGGGCGACAGAACAAGGCACCATCTCAAAAAAAAAACAAAAAAGAGAAAAAGAAATAACTAATTCCCAAATTCAACTTTAAAAATAATATATCCTGAAGAAGAAGAACTAGCCAGAGCTTTTTTCATTAAGGTAGGGAGACAGACATTAATTTCTGGTTGTCATTTTTTTCCTGAATTGTTTTGTCAGAGCAAGGTAAGATTTTGTTTGATTCCATGTAGCAGGGAAGGTCTTACGGAGTAGAATGGTGTTTTGGTGGTTTTCTGAGACGGGAGAATTTTTTGCAAAGACTCCCCCTCATTTTTCCCAGTGAGTGCTATGGCAGATGATTCTCAAAACCCAAACAGCTAGTAGAGCTTGGACACTATTTTTCTTCTTAGGCCATTGTGCCTTGCCACATTTTTTTGGCTTAATAGTTCAAAAAGTGGCGACATCCACACAATAGTTTCTCTGTCAGAAAAATAAAATTGTTGCTATTGCCTCCTTTCTGTACATTGTGGAGGAATAACTTCTATATAGAATGAAGCGAAATTCCTAAAGGTTAAAAATGCCTTATGAGCAGGTCTTTAATGCTTTTGATCTAGAAAATATAGTTGCTTATGTGAGTGGTCGTTGGGAAACTAACTTTCAGAATTGTGGTTATTATGGTCATGTAGCTAAATTAACTATTGTCTTCTGGTTTACTGTTTAGAACATGTTAGGTCTTTGAGGGGATGAGTGGGATACCAAAGGTAGCTCCCCTCTGCTGGTTCTGGCTTCCCATAAAATAACCTACATGTGAAACAGTAATGCATTTTGAAGCTTAGTCTGTTTAATTCCCAGCAGAATAAAAGCTCAAAGAGCTGTATGTATTTAATACATGAATTAAGAGAGCTGTGATCGGCTCTGTTATAAAATGTAGTAATCTTATAATTTTATTCTGCTGGGGCTAGAACTAACTAAATGTGAAAATGAAATATTCTTCCATAATGAAATGAGTTAGGATCTTGGTTTTACCTATTCGTAGAACAATTTTTCAACGAAAAACACCATCTGAAATGTAAGTCTAGATGGAAAAAGGTTTTCCGTGTGTCGCTTCATCATGTATGCCTTACTTTACGACAGGAAGGATGGTGATTGGAGTAGAGACTGTGGACCAAGCTCTCTTGACTTTTTCTCTTTTTTTTTGAGTTTTTTTTTTTTTTTTCCTCTGTTGCCAGGCTACAGTGCAGTGGCACAATCGATCTCAGCTCACTGCAACCTCCACCTCCTGGGTTCAAGCGATTCTCATGCTTCAGCCTCCTGAGTAGCTGGGATTACAGGCACGCACCACCACACCCAGCTAATTTTTGTATTTTTAGTAGAGACGGGGGTTTCACCATGTTGGCCAGGATGATCTCGATCTCCTGACCTCGTGATCTGCCCGCCTTGACCTCCCCAAGTGTTGCGATTACAGGCGTGAGCCACCACGCCTGGCCACTCTCTTAACTTTCTTTCTACTTTCTCAATTGGAGAGATTGGAAACCTAACAGCTACATGTCCTAGACTTTCTTACAGTCGGATTTCTGAACACGTTACAGGGAGACCTGCATTTGTGTGAGATTTGGAAGACCAAGTTCCTTCTGTTCATGCTGCTGGCAGGCAGTGGCGTGGAGGTTGGAGTGTTTAGAGGCAGCTGTGGTGGCCACACTCATAGTTCCAGGCCTTAGTCCCACCTCCATGGGTGTGGCAACAGCTTTCTGACCTCTGAATCACAGCCACCTACATTGTTGTGACCTTGAACTTAAAAGTCTAAGGGGCGTGCTGGGCATGGTGGCTCATGTCAGTAATCCCAGCACTTTGGGTGGTCGAGTTGGGTGAATCACGAGGTCAGGAGTTTGAGACCAGCCTGACCAACACGGTAAATCCCCCTCTCTACTAAAAATACAAAAATGAGCTGGACGTGGTGGCATGTGCCTGCAATCCCAGTTACTCAGGAGGCTGAGGCAGCAGAATCACTTGAACCTGGGAGGCAGAGGTTGCAGTGAGCTGAGATTGTGCCACTGCACTCCAGGCTGGGTGACAGAGTAAGACTCTGTCCCCTCCAAAAAAGAAAAGTCTAATGGGGCCCCTGATGTCTGCTCCTCCAGCCTTTTAAATAATTTTATAGGCACCTAATTCCCATATCAAATTCCTTTCTGACTGCAACACCTGGAGTGGTTTCTGTTTTCTGCACCCATTGTGACTGGTCGGGCTCTTGGCACAGGAGAGCCCAGGGCAATGAGGTAAACCCATCCTGAATGACAGAGCTCACACATGACCATGCATACCCACCTTCCAGAGGACATATCTGAGCAATAAAACCTTAACTGTTTTTTTAAAAGTCAGATTTATTGAGGCATAATTCACCAACAATATAATTCACCATTTTAAAATGAAAGGTTCTCAGTCTTCACAAATCAAAGTAGTATCCCTAATCCAAATCGAATTCAGAATCTGATTAGATCGGAGTTAAATCTGAATCCCTAATTCAACATCTAAAATGCCCCCAAATCTGAAACTTTTTTAAGGCCGACATGACACTCATAGGAAATGCTCCTTGGAATATTTTGGATTTCAGATTTTTGGATTTGGGATGCTCAACTGGTATAATGCAAAAATTCCAACATCCAAAAAAATTCAAAATCCAAACCACTTCTTCTCCCAGGCATTTCAGGTGAGGGATACACAACCTGTATAGAACAGTTCTACTGACCCCAAATTTCCTCATGTCCCTTTACAGTCAAATCTGTTCCCCAGCCCTTGGCAACCACTGATCTATTATTTGTCCCTATAGTTTTGTCTTTCCCGGAATGTCATGTGTATGGAATCATGCAGGATATAGCCTTTTGAGTAGGGCTTCCTTCACATAGTGTAATGCATTTGAGATTCATCCATGTTATGTGAATCATACTAATGCATTCCTTTTGCGTTGAATAGTACTCATGGGATCTACAGTTTATCCATTCACTAGTTGAAAAGCATTTGGTAACCTTAAAAACTTTCTCACATTTTTTATGGGTAAGCTGGAAAGGGGGAGCAATGAAAAATAATCTTGTGTTAATTGTTTGAGGGTAAATATCTGGTGCCCAGATACCTACCCCTGGCCTTAGGACAATCAGGACTATAGCCCCACCCCTGGAGACTGTAAGCAGAGTGTTTTTAAGCCTGTTCCTCAAGAGCACACCGTCAGCTCTTATCATCCCGTGTTGACTGTCCCAGTTAGCAGCTTTGCCTAGTTAGTTGTCTGGATTACAGTGGCAACAATGCTATCAAGAGACCACATACTCCATACCCCCACAAATCTA